TCAAGTGCTTTTTCGTGAGACGAAAGTGCTTTCGAGTACTCTCCCATGTTGTTATACACAGTACCGATATCGTTGTATGAAGTAGCCAAATGAGGATGATTTGGAGGAAGAGTTTTATGCTGAATTTCAAGTGCTTTCTCATGAGATAAAAGTGCTTTCGAGTACTCTTCCATACTGATATACACATTACCGATGTTGCCATATGAAGTAGTCAAATCAGGATGATTTAGAGGAAGAGTTTTTTGTCGTATATCAAGTGCTTTTTCGTGAAACAAAAGTGCTTTCGAGTACTCTTCCATGTTGTCATATACACTGCCGATGTTGTTGTATGAAGTAGCCAGATCAAAATGATTCGAGGGAAGAGTTTTTTCTCGAATTGCAAGTGCTTTTTCGCAAAATAAAAGTGCTTCCGAGTACTCTTCCATGTTGTAATACACACTGCTGATGTTATTGTATGAAGTAGCCAATGCAGGATGATTTGAAGGAAGACTTTTTTCTCGAATTTCAATTGCTTTTTTATGAGATAAAAGTGCTTTTGAGTACTCTTCCATGTTGTCATACACACTGCCGATGTTGTTGTATGAAATAGCCAGATCAAAATGATTCGAGGGAAGAGTTTTTTCTCGAATTTCAAGTGCTTTTCCGTGAGATGAAAGGGCTTTCGAGTACTCTCCCATACTGATATACACATTACCGATATCGTTGTATGAAGTAGCCAAATGAGGATGATTTGGAGGAAGAGTTTTTTCTCGAATTTGAAGTACTTTTTCGTGGGATAAAAGTGCTTTCGAGTAGTCTTCCATGTTGTCATACACACTGCCGATATTGTTGTATGTAGTAGCCAAATTAGGATGATTTGGAGGAATAGTTTTTTGTTGTATTTCAAGTGCTTTTTGGTGAGACAAAAGTGCTTTCGAGTACTCTCCCATATTGATATACACACTGCCGATGTTGTTGTATGAGTGCGCCAAATCAGGGTGATTGGAAGGAAGAGTTTTTTGATAGATTTCAAGAGCTTTTTCAGAAAATGAAAGTGCTTTCGAGTACTCTCCCATGTTATCATACACTAAACCGATGTTGTTGTATGAAGAAGCCCATGCAGGATGATTTGGAGGAAGAGTTTTTGCTCGAATTGCAAGTGTTTTTTCATAAAATAAAAGTGCTTTCGAGTACTGTTCCATGTTGTGATACACCAAACCGATGTTGTTGTATGAAGTAGCCAAATCAAAATAATTCGAGGGAAGAGTTTTTTCTCGAATCTCAAGTGCTTTTTCGTGAGACGAAAGTGCTTTTGAGTACTCTCCCATGTTGTTATACACACTGCCGATGTTGTTGTATGACTGCGCTAAATCAGGATGATTTGAAGAAAGAGTCTTCTGACAAATTTCAAAGTGTTTTTTATAAAATGAAAGTGCTTTCGAGTACTCTTCCATGTTGTCATACACACTGCCGATATTGTTGTATGAAATAGCCAGATCAAAATGATTGGAGGGAAGAGTTTTTTCTCGAATTTCCAGTGCTTTTTCATAAAATAAAAGTGCTTTCGAGTACTCTCCCATTTTATTACACACCATACCGATGGTGCTGTATGAAGTAGCCAAATCAGGATGGTTTGAAGGAAGAGTTTTTTGTCGAATTTCAAATCCTTTTTCGCAAAATAAAAGTGCCTTCGAGGTCTGTCCCATCTTGCTATACATCGTACCGATATTGTTGTATGAAGTAGCCAAATGAGGATGATATGAAGGAAGAGTTTTTTCCCAAGTTTCAAGTGCTTTTTCGTAGAATGAAAGTGCTTTTGAGTACTCTCCCGTATTGTCATAGACACTGCCAATATTGTTGTATGAAGTGGCCAAATCAGGATGATTTACGGGAAGAGCTTTTTGTTGAATACCAAGTGTTTTTTCGTAATACCAAATAGCCTTTACATAATCACCTTGATTCCAATGAACAGCACCAAGCTGATTATAATAAAACGGTTTTTCGCTCTCGTCAGATGTTCGTTCGAGTAATATGGTGTAAAGTTCTTCAGCTTTATTAAATTGACTAATTTTAAGCAATAAGCTGCTCAATCTCTCCCATCCACTATTACCTCCAGCCTCTTTTCGTAGCCGATCAGTAAGTAATCGTAAAGGTTGATCATCATCCGACGTTAATTGTAATTCAACTTGATAAAGTTGATTGTCTTCGTCCATTTGTTTAATTGCGCCGATTCGAAATACGGTGTGCATTGAGAAGAGAATTTCTTCTTCGTCCCTCAAAGAACTCTTCTCTTTAATGGAAGCAAATGGTGTTGATTTAATACAAGGATCAATGGACATTATAAAAAGAATTCCAGCCTTATTTGGTTCTGTTAAAGCAGCTTGAGCAAAACCGAGAGACACTTCTTTATTTGTACTGGTAGACAAGAAATTGTTAAATGACATAAGTCCACCTTTTGTTTTTTGAAGTTTTTCAAAGTCTGATATCATAAGACCTTGTCCTCGATAGACTAAAAAAGTTTTTTTTTTCATAACCATTGACTTGTTGTTTGTATAACTGTTCAATTTGCTTATGTACATCACGTAGAAAGAAGCCCATATTAATGATTATGTCGGCATCCAGTGTTCGAAGAGCATAGTTGAGCATATGATAAATATTGGATTGGAAAGTATACCACCAAATAGCAGATTGAGCATCGTATTCTTTCTCAAAACGATTAATAATGGTTGGCGATACGCAGTCATTATGTCGACAGTAAGTAATAAAGTCTTGGATAGCCTTTTCGTTATGTTCCATATTTAGAAGAATTTCCTTGAACAGTTGGGTATACATAAAAGTTGGCTCCAACTGATTTAAGTTATTAATTGAAGCCATTTCATTTTCTGTGATAAAACTCATGGCTATCGAGTCTTGATTGAATCGCTTAATGCCGATTTGTATTGCTTGGGATAGATCATCGGTATTGTTATGAATACTCTTGATTTTTCGCCATTTTTTTCTCCATTCTTCATGTAAGGATTTGAGGCTGCTGAAGATATAAACGCTAACCAGCTGAGGGATATCATTGATGAGGGGCATAATTTGTTGAAACATTGTATTTTCGAGAATCAGAGAAGACTTAATGTCTTGATCATCAGAAAGAAAGTCGATGCATGCATCTCTCTGCGTAAAGACTCTGATATTTTCGGCAGTGGTTTGTATTTGCGTCAAAATAGTTTTATAATCTATATTTGTTTCGTCCATATGCTCATCCAACCAAATGAGTAAATTTTCCTGCACCATATGTCTCCGTCGTTGGCTACTATTAGATATTGCCTTTGTTTCAGACGATTTAAATTTTTTTACTGGATGCATTGCTTCCATCTTCTGTGTAGTTTAAGAATAAAACGGCAATTGTTTGAATTTTTTGATTGAATAGATAATAGCGAAGGAGATGAATAAGCTCTTTTATTTATATAAGAATCAAATTTCTTTATAACAATATTTTTATGGGGTTATTAGCTGTTTTTTATGTTTATTACTACTACCTATAATAAAACCCTGTTCTGTGTATCGCTCAGTTTATATCGTAAAGGTAGATAAGTAGAAGGGCGAAAAAAGTATTCGTTTTTTCCAACTTTCTCCAAAGATAAGAGATAATATCATCACTAACAAAAAAAACACATATTTACTTTGTAAATAATGCACGTCAAAAGTCTCGCAACATTTTCTTTTGTGTTTGAATGATACATTAAAACTACATAAAGATACAAATTCAATGATAAGTTTTCTTATGCTCAATCTAGTACACATACTATCAGATAAAAAATTAAATAATAATTAATATTAAACTCGTTGTTCGATCAATTAACAGTTTATTCACTATTGTAAGTTATATTTTATTTTCAAAGATCTGTTGAAACGAATAGACAGTTTAAAATATAATTTCCTGTTTAACGACAGATTAATTAAGAATAATATTAATATATACTCACTGTCTTATAATCATATGAGATGATTATTTACTATTAACGATCACTTCGATGAAAATAAATCAGAAATATCTATCGTGATGATTTGCAAAGGATATTCTCAATTTTATAATCATTTCTGATCGATAAGATTTCATTCATTTTAGAACATAAAATTTTGTAGATCGTTAAAATTTTATAATATTCTTTATAGAATCTATTATTTCACCATAATTCACAGTGATAATACTCTGATAGACACCTTTTAGAAAAACAATAGCTTTTTCACAAGCTATTCTTCTTTAATTACTGGAGTATTATCATATTCCGACTGAGTTTTTAGAGTTATATAACACCATATAGTGCAATATTTCTCCAAAAAAATATAAAAGCGACACACACATTTATGTATCATAAATCTTAACTACAATAACAAACATCGTGTCCCTCTCCGAAAAAGAAAAGGTGCTAAAGTAACGTCATATCAAAGTAGAATTATTAGAATAAGCTCTGATATATTCTGACTTCGATTTAAATGCCCGATGATTGGATATAGATTATTTTTTTCCTTCTAATAATTCGACAGAAACATATTGTTTTCTTAGATACAGACTGAAAGCGTACATTCTCGGCTAGAAACTAGATTAAAAAAAATGTAAACATCAATGAATATTCTTCTGAACTTACATTTGACTAATTTATTAGTTATTGATAAAATGCCGTCAAAACACTAATCGAACCATTTCGATCGATCAATAATCAATTCGTGATTATCATATTTTAAGAACTACAATCATCCGAATGTATATCTTTACACTTCTTTCATCGTTTTTACATCTATTAATTGAATTAAATTAAAAAATCCATAAACAACTAAATGTTGTTAGCTTTAGGATAAAAAGCATATCATTTTCTTGAATAAATAGATAAACTCGATAGCTGGAAAAAATCCTCAATAAGATTGATGACTTACAAAATAAACAACTAGATACTAATCATTTGTTGTTGATCATCATTTTGAAGAAATATCTCTCTATCAAACTATTATGTTTAATCATTATTTTCTATTTTTTGGTGCTATTTTATTAACAAGTAAACTATATCTTTAAATAGAATCATATCTAAATTTAATTCTATATTAGATTTAGTTAATGCAAATGTTAATTTAACATGTTACGAATGTAATAGTTGTACAATGACACCAATGAAAATATCCATTGAAAATCGACAATGTGTTGTATGAATAAAAAAAGATCTATTCATTGTTTTCAATTGATTTTTATATCTTTTAGCGTATTCAAATAACTTGTATAGCAGCAGATATACATCTTATTGATTTAAGAGGTGATCGGCTACATTCAAATCATTCATCGGTTACTTGTGGTCAAAAACTTAGTTATTTATCAACATGTACAATTAATTATCGATGTTGTTATACAGATAGATGCAATACATATGAAAATACTATGTTATCATCATCATCACCATCATCATTATTTATATTAAAAATAATAGTAATTAGTTTTCATATATTTCTTCTTTTTCTTTGATTTTAAAATAAAAGATTGAAAATTATTTGAATAAATAATCATAACTATAGTATAATTTATTTTGTTTAATTACAATAGAAAAAAACATACAGACATAAATACTATGAAAATTAAATGACAAATAATAATTATACTAATAACAAACAATATTATCTAATCTACTATTATTTTATGTAGTTGTTTAATACTATGATGTCGTGATAAACCAACTCGTATATCAGGTATTGATATTGAATGAAATGGATGATAGATACGATCTAAAATATAATCAATATAATCTATTAAAAGAAAACTGAAGATATTTACCACCATTCGTTACAGATTGATCATAGTAAGATATTGATGATGCTTGTTGTGTACATTGAAACATTTGCTGTAAAAGATATTGTAAGAAAGTATTGATTGATTTATTTGACTTACCCAATTTATCTGATTGTTATTAGTTGATGAAACAACATCTTTATAGATATATTTACGTTTAGAAAGATCAGGTAACAACTGAAAATCATTCATAATTGAATCTTGATTTGATATTGGCTCAATCTGTTGTGGTTGTTGATGATGGATAATAATGTTCGAAATTTTATCCGAATCACATTGATCTTGTTGTTGTTGTTTTTTCTTTTTCTTTTTTAGATAAGTTTTGAGTTGTTTCTTGAAATTATTTAATCGACGTGAAAGATAA